CAACTGTCTGGTTGTGCACTGGTATAGGTCAATTTACATCATTAATTCAAATAACCTTTCTTTTCTTTGACATAAATAAACAGATCTTTTAGTAAAGAAAAAAAATTCAGGAAATGTTTCTTTGTGTCAAAAGTGCAAAAAATATTTGACAAAAGTAAATTTTTCTTAAGGATGATCCAATAGCTCCTGGCCCTATAAACTGAATAAAATACAACCCAATGGCTTCCAATGAACATTTGCCAGAACGCATAGTTTTAAAACAGTTAACAGAAATTAAAGCTCCAGTGTGTATTTATTACAGGGATTTATGACAGGAATGTAATATATTATCCATATGTATGTCATTTATTATCAAATATGAACTGAAAGTCTCAATCTTATGTATGTGTTGACTTAGATATTGCTTTTCATAATAACATAAGAAGAGTCAGACATTTATAGAGGCAGATATCTATGGAGCCAGCTGACAAACAAGTGACTGTAGAGGTCACCATTATGCTCAAATGTGACTGCAGCAAGTTAATTCAATTCAATTCAATTCAGTTTATTTATATAGCGCCAAATTCACAACACATGTCATCTCAAGGCACTTTATAGTTCAACCAGATCATACAGTCAAATTGATACAAAGTTTTCTATCTAAGGAAAACCAGTTGATTGCATTGACTCATTGACTCAAATACAATCCCTCACACTAAGCATGCTTGTAGCGACAGTGGAGAGGAAAAACTCCCTTTTAACAGGAAGAAACCTCCAGCAGAACCAGACTCAGTGTGAAGCAGAGATACAAAAAGCAGCTGTAAAACGCGGCCCCGTCCAGGAAACACGCAGCCAGGCAGACAAGCTCCAAGGCAGCTCCCATGCCAGAGGACGAAGAGAGCACATCCACTCAGTCACGGTCAGAGAAACAGGACCACATAAGTTAGGCCTATATAAAATCTATATCCTTTACAGACTAGTAAAACACTATTTATAAAATGATTACTGTAAATAAACATTGTCATCATTTGACAATTTAGGATAGGTAATGCGGGGATTCCAGAAGCCATATTGTACCATGACGGCCTCTGTGTTGTTGGAGGGAGGATACAGTGGGGGCAGTGCTTCATGACGCGCAGTTCAACTAGTAGATGGCACTACACACTCTAGCTTTAAATTACACCCAATTTAGATATACATTACAAATGCTTAAGCTTGACAACAAATACAAAAGGTGACAAAATTAAACATGAATCTCTTTGTCAGATTTGATTTGAAATATAATTTTAAATATACTTATTGCAAAGACAACACAGATCTGATTTTGATGCACACCACAGTTATAAATGGCACCTACCATCTGTCAAGGGTAACTAATAATATATATAACTTGTATAACAAACACAGCTAGGAACATAATAACTTGCTGATCAAAATTTCTTTCAGGATTAAATAAGCAAATTTTGACAACTTGTGATAATGTATTTTGAAGAAATGTATTTTTTTTTTTATAAACTACCATTATTTAAATGAAATAATGTCTAATGTTTAAAGCAATCCCTGTTCTTGTAACATTACGCTACATATCAGATCTGTTCACCATGAGAATTTTTTTTTTTCCACTATTCTGTTTGTATGAGTTCCCTTTTTCTAAAGAGAGGAAAGGAAAAAAGATGTAACTTTTGCAAGGTCAAAGGAGGAGTTTCTGTTGTGGGGAGGGAAAACAGTTTAGTTTCTCACACTTGGAGGGAGCTTGCTATGGGGTTTTCTTAGGGAAAAGGAGGATTAATGTCAAGAAAACATTTAGCATTATTTACAACTAATAAAATCACAGCTTTAAGTCCCACTAGCCTTCAAATACTGAATGGATTGGGTATTTATCTTCTCCTCCGTTTGGCGTGAAAGGCATGAAGCATGAATTTCCATGCAAGAAGAGTAACTTTGCCTGCCATCACACCTCTGTGTCTACATCAGCGGGTAGGTAATCAAGCATGGATTTCCAGTTTTCTTAGATATTGCCGGTTTTTCTGAAATGCTAACGTCAGTTTCTGCTCTGGATTTAGATTTCATTTCAAAAAGGGCTAGATGAGGTCCATCTTAAGCACCTTTCAAGGAATGATTTAGTTTTGGATCTACTTATGATTTTTGTATACATCTATCCAGTAACTTTGTTTTATCTCACCTTTACGCGTTTCCAGTTTCTCTGTTTTCTAGAGGTATTTTTACATATAACTCTGTCTATTGCTTTATATATAACTCTGTCTGCTGAAAGTTATCTTGGATGTTGTAGCAAATAATGATTTTTAGGGTTCTGGTTAAGAAATGTAATGCCTGTTTTTTACTCCTGCCTTGTAAAAGCTGTTTAATTTCCCTTTTGACATTAAGCATTACTACTAAGGATTCTCCTAAATTGATACAAAAAACTCAGCTTTTATCCACCCGACGAAACTCTTAATTCCCTCCAGCAGCAACTTTGATGTGCAAAGCTATACCTAACCGGGCTCCATAATTGCTACATGATGACCTTTTTCAATTATTTATCAGCCAATCTATGTTATTATATCTTTCTAGCTATTGCTTTCCACTACCTTGTAGTAGAGATGGTAGGTTTGCTACCATAGGCTGAGCTGGCAATACAACTGTCTATGGTCATTATAAGCAGCAGCTGGTTGTGAAGCCCTGCAGGAATCTGAAACCATAATTTTTTCCAGTGTTCTAACATGACTGGGAAGAAGTGTGGGGGATAATTCTGATAGTTGTCTAAGTCCAGGCTGGAGGCCAGCTCCTCACCTTCTCACCATGAAGTGACAAAACCACAGCTGCGAGAGCGTGCTTCAAGGTTCAACCTTAGGAGGCTAATTGGCAAAATGGCACACACTGTACTGCCCTTGAGATAAGAATGTCTAATGGAGGAGTTTGTATTCAATGAGACTATATTTAGTGCCATGTGGTAAGTATCTCACTATACAGTACTCTGACTTGTCGGGCTGACTTTACAGCAGGTAATGTAGCAATGCTTTGCACCATGTTTCACCCATCAGCTTGGCCAGACGTTTTGTCAGATCATCAGATTAGATCACTGGTTCTTCTGGGTTTCTATTTTTGTTTTGTATTTTAACTGTGGGTTGTTAAGGCTTATAGGTATTCAAATTAGAAAATTACCATGACTTATCTTGGCTTACAATGTACTTATAAACAATTTAAGATGGATGTAGCCTCTCTTTACTTAAATGTTAAATATTTTCTGAAATGTTCAGGCTCAAAAGTGTTGGAGATGGATATAAGATACAATTCCCTTCACTTTGAGTCATTTCTATGAAGTCATATTACAGAATATATTTGTTAAATTTAAAGAAAAAAATATGTTTTTGTCAGTTTTAAAACCTTACACAAGCATTCAAACAGCTTTTCCACATTTTGTCACATAACTAACATTTCAGACCACAATTTTTAAAGAATTTACTGTATTAAATTACCACTTGATAGTAAGGAAATTGCAAAGTGGAAGGACAATTATGCATGTTTAGATTATTTATCTAATAAACTTCAGTTTGAGGTGAGGACATATTTTTTTCACAGCTACAAGACCTATGCTTTGCGTAATTAAAGACCGCCTTTGTTGTTGTTTTCCCCCATTCTTCCTTGAAAAATATATGTTTTAAGATTTTTGGTCTGGACTAGGCAGTTGTTACACATGAATATGCTTTTATGTAAATCATTTCTTTGTAGGTCTGATTGGTTTAGGTTTGTTGACCACATGGAAGTGAAGCCTCTTCTCCAGTTTGATCTTTTGCCACCTCTTACCATACTTTTTTTTTTAACAGCTGAATTTGTATTTGAAACAAATAACACACAGCTTAATGGTGTATTATAAACAAATCTCTATCAATCGAATTTAAGCTTCACGAAGAAGAAGTTTAAGAAGTATAAATACTTTTGCAGCCCACCATATTACTTACTGTACAATTATTTTGTGAACCATGGTTTTAAAATCGTTAATAGCAATTCATGTCATAATGCTTTATTATATTTAGTTCACATTAGTGGTGCATTTGTGATTCTTTATACAATGTCTGCTTAATATGTAAAAGGTCTTTGATAACCAGGGGACCTTTCCATCTGTAGCACTAGCTTTAGCTGGATTTGGCTGACTTGTTGTCTACTTTGTATGCTTGGACATGTAAATCTGTTGTAGTCTATCCACACTGGCATGACAAAGTATGAATGAAATCTTTGTTACTGCATCATGCTGACATAATTTAAACAGGATAATTGGACTATTTATTCAGCTCAAAGCTTTGCTTATCTTGGAATCTGTTCCTGAATGTCCGAATGAAAAGACTGACAACTATTAGGTTTTGCATGAAAAGGTCATGCTATTGTATGAAGAATCAATTCGATAACTTTTCAGATTTTCGAACCAGTTTGACCATCTCCTTTGCAAATGATCTTGAGTTTTTGAAGCATTTTAAAGAAAACCTACCACTGATTGGTAAGTTGTACCAGTGACTCTTGCTGCTCTTACTGGAGGAGAGAAGATGCAAGTGTGTGAGTCGGGTACCCTAATGATGCATGTGTCTGCAGCTGCAAAGTGCAATGCTACCAGGTTTTGTCATGCAGCTTGATAAAGTGGAAACACAAAGAGTGAGAAACTCTGTCCCTATTATGTTGTTAATCAAAGGGAGAAAAACTTTGCAATGGTGAGGACTCAGTTGGGCTCTACGGTTTCAAAGCTTACCCAGGCACTGCAACATTTTCTGCTCCAACATGTAGTAGATAAAAAATAGTTTCTCCATATTAGTGATAATTTTTTACATTCTCAATTATCATTTGCATGTTTTACTGTGCTTTATGAAACTAATATAAATTTGATGAGTTTTAAAACGTATTACATTTAATTCCAGACTCTAGTGCATTTAATAATTTCAGAACATCTCGTTTACATTTTTTGTTGGCCTGGTTGTGAAGAGTTGCCTGTTGCATGTTTGGAATTTTGTCTAAATAAAAATTATTTTTTTCAGGTCATTAAAGTTTATGATGAAAACAACACCAGCAAAGCTGTAGAAGTTCCCACTGATGTCACTGCCAGGGACATATGCCAGCTGTTTGTCCTGAAAACTCACTGCATTGATGACCACAGCTGGACGCTTATTGATCATCTGACCCAGCTGGGAATAGGTAAGATTTCTTTGATGTGTCTGGTATGCTCTGCTGTCTGTTTTTATTTAATATGGTGGGAACCAATTTTGTGTTTTTACTAATTAAAAAAATGTTGAGTGAAGGCAACTCCTTGTTGCAGATACAAATTTCTCTTGGAGGACGAACATATGAGATCTAAAAAAAAATACAATTAATCCATTATTTATTCTTTTTATGCTACCTTATTACTTAAAAAATTGCAATTACTTTGAAAAATTTTATTTTTTTTAAAACTCAAAACACCTGCTTGGGCTGATATACTGCAAATAGGTAGACCAATAATAATCTAGTAAAACAAGTGTGCTTTATTTAGAAACCTTAAAGGAAACATTGTGAGAGAAGAAGAGAAAAAAAATATTTTTCCAAATGTTAGGGATGTGCACCTTCAGGCACACATTAGCTTTTTAAATTATCTTTGATGATCTACAAGATCTGTGGTTGTTGCTCACATGTGGCTGTTAATATATATTTATTTTTATGTTTTTTATAAAAATATGCTACAATACTAAAGTACAGTCTGTTTTTCTTTGCACCAAGACTGCTCTCCAGCTGGATTATTTTATGCAGGTCTGAGCAGACATTTCCCCCCCTAAACAATATTACTCTACTCATGCTATTTCTCACAGTCCAAATATGTTTCATGCAAAAATAATCTCTCTTTATCTGTCATTATACAGATGCCTCCTTTGTGGCTACAATAGCCACAGAAAGTTTTGCATGTGGGTTTGTACCTGACTTTGAAACTTAATAATTTTAGATGCAAAGCCTACACCCTCAATCAGTACAAGGTTTGATAAACAACTTTGCAGGTGGTAAGTATTTTCTGTGCACATGCTCTGTCCATACATTTAAGCAGCTTAGTCATGGGCAAAAAATAAAAATGCATGTGCTACTAAGTGACTTGCACATGTAAATTTGATTGCACCTTATATTAAAATATGTACATAAAAAGATTGTCTTACAACTTTTGTAGTTCTTTTTAATTTATTAGAAAAAAAACACCTTGCCAAAAGTTAAAATTGCTGACACTAAATCAGAATTGTCTTCATTCAGTAGCTGTTTCCATACTGAAGAGTTTTGTTGTTGCTGGGTAACGATGACTATTGAACGTTAGTTTTTTGGTGAATCTCTAAAATAAAGACATTGATTAAAACATTATTTTCATATACAGTCATTTTTTATGTCAGAAACATGCTTTCTGATAAGGCCATACAAAGAAGTAAGGGGACGTATTAAACAATGTATTGAATTAATCTATCAACCTTTTGACCTTTATTTTTAAATAACCAATAATTTTCCATTGATAATATTTAAACTTTTCAAGGCTGCACTTTTAAAATGATGAAATTGTCCAGAAAGCTGTTCCGAACAAAATTTCTTTTTGTTGTTTTACACTTGTGTAAATGAAATGACAAACAAAATCTGTCTAAGTCTAATAAAATACCTGTTTTTCTGTAACTGGTTAGATGCGTGTTAAAAACTATCTTTCATTAAACTGTGAATTTTGTTCTACCCCTGTGTTTTCCCCAGAGCGAACCATAGAAGATCATGAATATGTAATGGACGTGCAATCAGGCAGAGGGATGGACACAGACAGTCGGCTGTATTTTAGGAAGAATTATGCCAAATATGAATTCTTTAAGAAACCCCTGGTAAGTATGTCAAATGATTTTACTAAAAATGATCAAGCTTTCAGACCAGTGGTGTTTTTTGTATGAATGGCAAACTGGACAAGCTTGTTATACAGTAAATTCCGTTTTGGGACATAATGCTGTAGTTTAACACAAAGCAAATAAAATTGTTTCCTGTTTCCCGGCAGCAATGAGGGAACTCCCCATGACCTCTTTTTGACATAGAGTCACAAGACATAATTACCTGAGATTTTTTTTACCTGGGTGAAAGAAATACCAGGTAATTTGCGTCTTTGTTTTCACTGATCTGACAAGCCATGAAAAAAGTTTTGTAAAGGTTGACAACAAAACTGCATTGTACCTTTAGTCTATCTGATAGCGTTAAAAAGAACCAAATGCATCACCAGCTCTTCCTGCACTTACCCCGGCATAACCTCTGTAGCCTAGCAACTGTAATAGCAAGAAGCACAGATATGAAGCTGTGGAACAGGATTTCTAACTTTTGATCCATGTGTTTTTTTTGTTTACTAATCCTTCAGGAACTTTATCATTTGTACCATTGTGACAATCATTTCTTTAAAATAAGAGAGTTGTTCATCTTCAAATGTACTCCCCAGCTCTCTCTTAACAGATTAAAGTCAAAATAAAACTATCCGGTTCTGAAACCTAAAATTTAATCTCAGCCAAATTGATTTGTTTAGAGACAAATGGAATACTGAAATACACTAAACAAAACCATTAGAAATCCTCTGGCTGATTTATAGCTGTGTATCCATCACTTATTGGATAAAGCTAGTTTAAAAACAATGTGCCAGGAATCAGCTATTTTCTTTGGATGCTGGAAACCTCATAAATATTGTGATGTTTGCGTATTTGTATGACAGGAAGTCTAATTTGTTAAATTTAATGACATCCTATACTGTTCTCATCATCCATTGACCTTGCATTTGAAGAGTCCCTTTTTTACCCCACCACTCATAATCCCAGGCTAATGTAGAAGTCCTATCCTCAGACCAGGAACTTTTATCTAGTGAAGTCTGTCCCCGGGAAGTCAAAACTACTCTGGCATAAACGTGTCACAATGCATGGAAGGCTTTTAGTATTGTAGATCATGACTAAAAGTCGTGGAAATAGAAAAGAGGCTGTAGACACCTACTGTACGTTGGATCATTGGTAACTTTAAGGATTTGTCATGACAGACAAGTGTTTTTTTTGTAGGTGCTTGTTCACCCATTTCTAATGCCACCTTAGTAGCCCACAAGCCTTTATCAAAAACTGCCACTAGGTCACACACATTGTATCATAGTCAAAAACATGAATTAATGTCAAACAAATTTTGCTAAATTCAATAGGACTTTTTCCCAGATCACATGGTTTCCATCTCCACGGAAACTAATGACATCGTGGATCATTCTGAGCTCATTGAGGTATGAATCTTTTTCTTAATGCACAACTCTGGTTTTATTACCAGGGTAATGATGATATATGGATGGTCAAATGTTTCTCTATTCAAACAGACCTTCCTCAAATCCAGCACTTGTCCTGAGATCCATGGCCACCTTCATGTCAAAGAGCAAAGCAAGAAGTCCTGGAAGAAGTTCTATTTTGTTTTACGGAGGTCAGGGCTTTACTTCTCCACTAAGGGGACTTCCAAGGTTGGTAACGTTAATAATTAGGTCATAAAGAATGAATTCAAGTTTTTCACTTTTTTTAAGTATATTTTAATTATTAGACTTTTAAAAAGTCTAATTTAGTTCTAAAATGATTCCATTTGTATGAAAGGCTTTTAGTTTTATCTAGATTGTGTGCAATAAGTCCAAAGAAGCGTCAAAACGGCAGTAAAGAATTTGCATTTGGAAAACTGTTCAGTATGCGATTAGTTGATAATTAGCTTATTGGCTGCATGTACACCAAACACGTTTTGAAAAAGACACCAAAGCAGGTTGAGCTTGATTTTTCTGAGGTCAGCTACAGTGGAAACCATACTTTCTTTGCTGCTGACAAGTGACTCTTATAGGCTGCAGCCATGCTAGCACACCCACTTTTCAACTGCTTTCATTTCTTAAAACAGTGGGTCTTCTGTTGTTAAAGTACAGGTAGGTTTGGTATGACGTCTTTTTTTGCTATTCAGTCAGCACAGACATTAATGGCTGAAGCATTACTTTAAATAAGGAAGTAGGGACAGCAGGTCACACGAAAGCAGAACAATGAAACTCTTTCAGCTTTTTTAACTCAGAGGTATTTTTGACACAATGTACTTATTGATACTGTCATTTGTCTAAATTTATCTCTTAAATGATAAGTTTTGTCTAAACACAAGCACAGAGACAGGTGTGTTTCTTAGATAAAAATTCAGTTTATGCTTCACAATTGTGATTTTTCATATTCTCTTTTATATGCTGCTTTAGCTCTTAAGTCTGCACCTTATCTCTAAAGAAATGTCCTAAAGGGATTTTATTTATTAAAAATTATACTCCATTAATCATATTGACATACACCTAAATTAAAACGTCTAACACTGGCATATACAGTACATGTGTATTAAACTGAAACATGTCTCCATTCCTCATATCTTGTAAAGTTTTCCTTATTTTACATCCAACAACCTGTTTTAAGACCGACCAACACCAAGTAGTGCATAAGTATTAGGTTGACAAAAAATTTTCAAACTCCTATTGCAAATAAAAATAGAAAAAAAATGGGACACCTCTGACACCACAAAAAAATCCAGATCAGCCAATTGGCTCCAGAACTCACCTTTAAATCATGCCTGTGTATAAGAGGAGTTCAGAGGTTAACTATCGTAGTACAAACCAAGGACCAAGACACACAGTAGAGAGACAACTGGAGATAATATAAAGCTCAAGCTATAAACAACTGATCTTAAAAAGCAAACCTACCACTCTTGAACAGTTAGACTGTGCAAAGGCTGGCTACAGGATGTATTATTTTAAAATGTTTCAAAAAGTACCTCGTGTTTTTCTTTACACTGGACAGCTATGTACAACATAGTGTTTAATAGTAGACGGACATTTGTGGTTGTACTGTAATATTATGAAATATGAAAAGTTGAAGTACATTGGAAATACTTCTGAAAAGTTATGTCTTAGGGTTTATCACATTGGCAGTTTCAATAATATTAGGATTTTCTAACAATTTACACAACATTTTTAACAAGACCAGCCATTTTTTTTGCCTCAACAATATGCTCTCTTTGCTGTACAGGAACCAAGGCATCTTCAGTTTTTTGCTGACTTCACTGACAGTGACATTTACACCGTTCTGTCAGCCAAAAAAACACATGGGGCACCAACAGAGTTTGCTTTCTGTGTTAAGGTGATAATCATTTGCTTTTTTTTTTTTAAATGCAGTAAGTAATTTATCAAAGTTTCTCACACATTGTACTACTCTGTCTGTGAACGTCTCGCTGCAGGCTACAAAGTGCAGTTCAGCTCGTGATTTGAAGCTGCTTTGTGCTGATGATGAGCAGACCAAGACCTGTTGGATCACAGCCATGCGCTTGTTAAAGGTTGGCTTGATGATGAATAACCGTGGCTCATGTCTTAGAAGAGGAATGCTGAGTCAGAGCTAGAATCAGATTTACCTTTGGAAAGAGGTCAAGGGAAACTATTGAGTGATGCTGGATTAGCATTTCCTCTCGATAGATTCTGCATGTGTCTGTTGTTAGGATATCTGGTGGAGCAGTTTAAAGCATTAGTCAGTCGCACTTCTTTCATTAATATTATCATTAATAAAATGCATTTTTCTCTCTGCAACACTAATGAATGGGTTTGAAGATTACATGCAATGTGATATTTATTAACCTTCTTTATCTTTCAGTTTGGGATGCAACTTTATCAGAATTTCATCCAGCCTCACCAGAAGCAAAAAGCCTCACCAGTGGTAAGCTGAAGTGTTTGTTCTACAATTGCAGGTCATGGTTTGAGTATCCCTGTTTCTTAAGAAGCAGTGCAGAACGCAACGTTTCTCAATATGCCAGTTGTACAACAACTGAAGTACTAAATATATGTGCAATGGTTATCACTTGGGCCATATGTAGGTCTTTGTTTTGTGTCATAGCTATGCAGAACTGTCTTTATGGTGGTTGCATACTGGTAATATTATCCCTACAGCATTTTGTACCTTTTTTTTTTAACTCATCATTTTAATTTTATCATTGGGATGTTTTCTGGAGAAAAGTGAGATTAGTAAAGTGATCAGCAATGCCCAGTCTCTTTTTTATTGTTAAATATTAATCTGTCATTACCCAAAGTAAGTGAGGTTGTTACAACCTGGGGGAATTACAGTTGTGCTCTCAGAGTAACCTTGGTAGGCCAGTGACTCTTGGATAGGTCCACCTCTGCTTTTCTTTATTTGTGCATAGCGACTCACTGTGGTTTACTGACATCCAATAGCCTTAAAAAGACTTTGTAACCCTTTTTAGAGAGATAGATGTAAGTAACTTTGTTTTTTATATTTTTCCATACTTCATGAAAGTGTGTTACTTTTTGATATCATTTATCCCATCTGTCTTGTTCAGCAGTTTTTATTTAAAAGTTTCTAATATCATTATTAGAATCATATGTAGTGTTATTCACTACGGATAATTCATAAATTGACAAAAGAGACATTTTTATACAGTATTTTCTTATCTAGGTCAAGATAATTCCGCTAGGTTTTGTTCTCCTTATTTAAACCTCTTTTTGTACATACTGTGGTTTAATTGACTGATATGTGATAATAAAATATAAATAATTTAACCCTAACAAAAACAACAAAAAGTTATTAAAAGCTCAATTTTCATGTTACTTTCTTTTATTAGATCCCCTCCTAATGGGTTTTTCCTGTAACAATATATTTGGCCAAAAAAATTTAAATAAGGGATAGTCTGAGCTTGAGTAGACTGTAGTTACCATAATATAAAATATTGCCATGTCCCATAAATTTCTGAAGATTTTATTATTATTATTGTAGCTTTACAAGCTGGTTATATTTTGTAGGCCTATTTCTGTTTTGATTTCTGTTTAAATAGATCAGTCTGCACAGACTTAAAAACACTTACTTTATACAAAAAGAAAAGCATGATATAAATTTGTTGGGCATGTAAGGAACCTTCTATCGTTTAAATGTGGACTTTGTCCCTCAGAATAGCCTACAACTTTACTGAAGCAGCACACAAAATCTATTTATAGGTGATGGCCATGCTAGTGAACGGGGAGCCTTCTAAAAATACATCATGATCAGCTGCTCTCACATTTTGACAGCTCATCTGTTCGTTTCCTGCTGTCGTGGCTTCAAATGCTTCCCAGCAAACATAGCCAAGAGGATTTGCTAGAAAGACTGGAAAGTATGTGAATCAAATAGATGCCAAGCAGGTTAATGACATTTTATGTATAGTTAACATGATATCTTTAGAAAAATTGCAACCATTTTTGATGGGTATTTATGGCATTTTATACCTTTCAGGAATGATATAGGAAGCTGTAAAATAAAACACACAATTTGTTCATTGCACTTATTTACATTGTGAAGCTTAGTCAGAGGAATGACAATAAGTGTTGCAGCTGAAAGCTTTAAAGTAATCTTCAGAAGGACAATTTTCTTGACTCTGTAGTTATTTAAAGGCAGTCTATCTATGAGAGTTTAAAGAGTAATACGTGTCCATGTGTCATTCTTTCCAAAGCCACTTTAATCCCTTTTCAATGGAGCTTCATGTCTGGAATTATCTAGAAATGATGGAGTCACATTACACAGACACTAGGTGGCAATACAGTGCCACAATGCAGGAAGCTTTCCATAACCTATAGAGGATTTAATACAGAAATAATAATATTGATTTTATTTTGTGACCCATGTTTTTATTTGCTTCCAGGAAAATGTTGTTTAGAATATCCTAAAAAAAAGAAAAATGAACTAATGTAAATTTTATTAAGTATCTATGAAGCAATTTGTTTTCTATGCCATTTCAGAGAAGCATCTCTGAGAACTCGCTGGTAGCCATGGACTTTTCTGGTCAGAAAACACGAGTGATCGAGAACCCATCTGAAGCTCTGTCTGTGGCAGTGGAGGAAGGCCTGTCGTGGAGGGTGAGCCAAGGTTTTCACCTTATTTGTTCCCTCCGTCTGCTCACTTACTCTCAGATTCCACATTGGGGGAAGATGCAAAAGGGGACAAAAGGACTTTTTAAAACTCTTATTACTGCTTCAAACTTGGCTGAAAAAAAGTTAGAAGAAGTGTATGAGGGAGAAATCTGTTAGTTGAGGAACTGTCGAAATTTACATCTCAGTTGTGATAATCTTTTGAAAGGACAAACAGTATATCAGTGATGTTCTCCACAAAACTGGCTTTTATGAAAGAGTGGCAAGGAGAAAGCATTGGTTAAGAGACAGCCAGAAGAAAATATAATATGTAGCTTTTCAGGCCATATATGAGACACAGCAAACATAGTAATGTATGACAGTAAAGTAGTCATTTGAGACCAAAATTTTATTTCTGGCCTTAATACAAGAAATGCTCTAAATGTTATCCATCTTATTTGACAGAGGTTGAGCTATTTTAGAAAATGCCACAAAACGGATTTAAATTAGAGGCAATTATTCAGGAGTCTTTTTCAATTTGGTCTGCTTGTTTTAGAGCAAAGGATTTATGCATGGAATTTTCAGTCTCTTTTTTTGGTCACATGACAGAAGTATACATACTTTGGTAAGGACCTAATCAAAACCATTTCACAAAGCTAGAAGAGCAATTCGAGGGAGAAAGAAAACAGTTTAACGGCATATTAACATTATTGCCAGTTATATTGTGGCCATAACTCATGTCTCCCTCAGAGGAAAAGCTGCCACCGTTTGAGTTGCCATGGGAGCCCCTCCTCCACACAGACTTCCGTTTCAAACCTAGGTATGTGAGATACTCCTTTATCTGCCTCATATATGTACACGCATGAAATAAAACCACTAATTCAAAATCATCATGCCTCAGCTATCCACTTGGTTCAGCCATGGTTCCATGGCAAAATGTCTCGAGACGAGGCTCAGCGTCTAATTATGCAGCAGGGTCCTATTGATGGGTAAATGGTCAACTCTTCATTTATATTTTCCTGCTTAACACCATTGGGATGCTAAAGCTAAGGTGATGTCTTGGTTCCAATCATCTAGTGAGGCTTATTTTACTCCAATCTACTTAGAAAAGAGCAAGTATTGCAGTATATATAAATGTATTAACTCTTAGACAGATTATCCTCAATAGACAAAAGTGTACAGAATATTATTTACAAATCATAGCCATTGTAATTGCTATATTTTGTATTTAATATGGTTGTTGTTTGGTAAAATTCCAATGCTATGTTTTTTAGGGCAACTTAGACAATAATCTTTATTGTCGTCTCTGCTCATCAGACAAAGATAAATTGAAATTCTGTTGGTATTAATAGATTTCAATAGTTGTATTCTAATGCACATACTTTCTTTCTTCCTCTTCCAGAGTATTTCTTCTGAGGGACAGCCAAAGCAACCCAAAGACATTTGTTCTCTCACTGTGTCACATGCAGAAAATCAAACACTTTCAAATCGTACCAGTAAGTACATTTAACCATCTAAGTTGATCTAAGTTACTGTCTACTAATTAAAGATTAGGTACGGATGCGTTTACAAATTCAGAAGGATGAATCAGATAAAAGGAAGAACAAATTATAGATATGTGTCAAAAAATATTTTAACACATTTATATTCAGAATATAGCTCAAAATGTAATGTTTCTTTATTTATTGGCACAGTTTGTCCAAATCAAAATTGGTACGATGACCCAGAAAATACCACAAATAAGAAAATTATAGATATTCACAGACATTTGTACCCATTGAGTCATTTGAGGCCTTAAATCCAACAAAATAAAAAAAATATGTTCTTCATCAAAATGGTTCTAGTATAACACTTCACAGCTTTGAAGGAGGGAGACTCGTCATGCAACATTTTTGTTTTCTAATTTTAACAATGCTGGCCATGTCAGTGAGTTAATCTACCATTCATAAAATAAAAAAAAGAAAGAAAGAAAAAAAAAGCTTTTTACTATTTGGTGAAATTACTTTAGTATTACTAAACCTACTTTTGAATTTAAAAAGTGTAATAGATTTCAATGTTCATCTGTTCTTTTACTGTAGAGGGCTGGTGTTTGGCCTACTCCTTTACCTGAAATTTAGCCCAATATCAGTAATGGCTAGAGAAATGTTTCCCTCAGGTTTTAGATCTACTGATTTCATGGTACACTCATTTATTTCAAGAAACATTCATATTTTCAGTCTTCCAAATAACACAAGATAGGACATAATATGACCAAGTCATATAAAATAAAGGCAATTTAATTGCAATAGACCAAATACCCCATGTGGTTTTTCATAACTTCTCATTTTTACCCATTTTAACTTAGTAACCTATAAAAAACAAAAACAGCATTTACATTTTTTTTGTGTTTTGTAGGTATGGGCTACCTTAAAATGGGAAAAGTGGAAAAACAAATCAGAAAAAAAGGAAAAGAAATGCGAAAGTGAGAGTCTCTCCAAATTACTGCCAAATTCAGACAGTTTTCTGGTGACAAATGAAAAGATACACTGATAAAGTCTCAGTAACATTAACACATTTTCAAACTGTCTTATAAAGGAGAATTATTTTAACCAACTTTAACACAAAAAAGCAAAACATTAAGAAAAAAGTGTACTTTTTTGTCGGTTAACTAAATCTCAATAGAGTTTGATTGACTTTTAATCCTGGTCGCATTTCTCTCACTTTTTTCTGAGAACATTCCAGTGAGTTTCCTCCACAGTGAAGTACTGTACACTCAGTGAGGGAAGTGTAAGGGAAGATTTTCTCACTAAGAAATTGGACACCACTAGTTGTAGAATTACATCCAAGCCCAGTAGATGGGGGTAATACAGTAAATAGCCTGTACACTTCAGTAATGTGTTCACCTACGTCATGCGTAAAAACAACCTGAGTCACAGCCTTCTGCATGGAAATCCTACCATATTCATAACTTCTCACCAAACACATGCATAATATTGAACAACAAGTAAATTACGAAACTTAAAAAGTCAATTTGTTCATTGCACTTATTTAAATTGTGAAGCTTAGTCGGAGGAATTACAGTAAGTGTTGCATTAATAGACAATCAACATAATTAGCTACTAAAACTTTTTGATGAAATATCAGTTGCCAATGAGAAGCAAGGAATAAAAATAAATAATACAGTGCATCCCTAATGGACTCTAACAATTATTAAAATCAACACAAGTTACTCTAGCTGTGACAACCAACTTCTTTCTCAATGGACTG